TTAAACTATTTTTGTCCTAAGTGATTACAGCAGTTAATACCTAATGTAGAACTCTGGAAAACTCAGAAGTGAGTGAAGAGATGATGATAAGCTTCCCCCATAATCCCACCATGCAGAGGCATGAGCTTCCTCTCTATCTGCACACTCCAGGCAGGGTGTGGTCCAGTCCCTTATTTCAACGTGTCCATTTACTCAGCACAGCAGCAGCAGCAGTACGCCCACGACCGTCTGCCCTCTCTCTCTCGTGTGAGCCTCATTCAGGGATCAGTGAGTTCGAGTTCTGACTTTACGCCTAAGGTTTGGGGCAAGTGCTGCGCTGTCCTTGTCTGGAGCTGACCCAAGGGCCAGGGCCTGGGGATTTCAGAGGCTGGCACCTCCGAGGGGGCGGCTGTGCCAGTGGCAGTGGTGGGCAGCTGGGAAATGGCAGCTTGCAGCATCTTTCCACTTTGGGCTCTGGGTGCTGAGCCGTACAGACTGCCTTTCCTGTCTGGAACTCCCCTCCTCTCCCCACTGAAGTGACAGGAGATAGGCATCCACCTCCCCTCGGGGCACACAGAGCTTAAGCAGTCTTTAACAAAAGTCAGACAACTTGGGCATCTGTTACTCCTCTTACAGACCTTCCGTTCCTTTTGCAGCCACAAGGAAGGATCCATAGAAATGTGATTTCATACTCCAGTGGGTATGTGTACTTGGCCTTCAGCAAGACAGGGAAGAAAATGGTCTGTGACAGGGAGCGTGTTTCACAATTTGCAATCCCCGGCTGCTCTCCTACCAGGTGAATCCCAAGCAGGGTCTTTGCTGAGGAGGGTCAGAGGTTTGAGGGTGTGAACTAGTGATGCTGAGAGGGAGCTCCAGGGCTGTCCTGAGCAGACGCAGGGTCCTGGGCAAGGGTGGGGAGGAGGTGCTTGGGGGCAGAGGTGAGAGAGACAGAGAAGGGGCGAGGCCGAGCTTTGAAGGGCCAAGTGGGTTGCCGTGCGTGACGTGTGGTGTGTAGTATTACCTTCTGCTCTGTCTCCGCAAAATCAGTGTTGTGATGTGGGGCTGGATTTGTGAGTTTGAGAGTTGCAATCTGTTGCTGGGATTCTGCTTCAAAATAGGGAAGAAGAGTGGCTGGAGGGGGCCCAGCCATTGGGTTCTATATCAAAAGAACACTTTTAGGAGGAGGTGATTTGGGCACTGGAGCACCTGCCATGAACCTAACCCTGAAACAGGCTGCTCAGGGGTCTGTCGCTCCACACTGTACTGTGAGCTCCCCTCAGGCCTTATCCACCTCAGGGACCCCAGGGCCTGGACAGTGCTGCTTTGTTAAGCTGGTCCAACTTCCCAATTCAAGTTCAGCTAACATTGATTCAGCACCTGCCCCACACCAGGCCGTATGGCAACGTGGGGGATAGAGAAAAGCCAGAGACACAGGCCCCACCTGCTAGGAGGTCACAGTAATAGACTGTTGCTGCCAGGTCACGAATGGGATGAAAGAGGTGAGTAAAAGAGATGTGAAAGCCCAAGGGAGGGAAGTATGGGGCAGGGTTCTGGGAGGAGAGCGCACCTGAGCTGAAGAGAGGAGGTAAGGAGGAACGGGTGTTTTTGGCAGACACCAGCACTGACAGAGAAACTGCCTGTCTGCCTGTGCCTCCCGGTCCTGCCAATAGCCCCTGCAGCACTGTTGACAGGCAGGGGGAGGGGGCAACGGAGAGGCCCATGGGGTTGTGGGTGTCAGCTGAGAGTCGGACCTAAGCCTAGTCAGGCTATCCTCAAGGAGAAGGGACTGGGCAGAGAGAAAGGCACAGCCCACTGCTGGCTGGGGGCCGATGGGTTTGAATTTTCCACTTGCAGCATGCCTTTGGTTTGAAAAAACAAATTCAGATTGCAAATTTTATGTTTGGAAAGTGTGAAAAGAATACCTGATGTATTTTTTAAAATTATTTTTTAATTGATAAATAATAATTGTACATATTGATGGGGTACATGTGATTTTTGATACATGTATATGAAACATAATGATCTAATCAGGGTAGTTGGGATATCCATCACCTCATTTATCATTTCTTTGTGTTGGGAACATTCCAGATCTTCTCTTCTAGCTATTGTGAAATACACAATAAGTTACCATTGACTGTAGTCACTCTACTGTGCTATCGAACACTAGAAATTATTCCTGTTATCTGACTGTATTTTTGTATCCATTAACCAACCTCTCCGCCCTCTTTCCCCCAGCCTCTGGTAACCACTATTTTATACTCCACTTCTATGAGATCAACTTTTTTAGTTCCCACCTATGAGTGAGGACATGTGGAATACCTGCCATTTTTGTAATAGAATCTAAATTTGACCACGTTTTGGCTGAAAAAGAAGGAATTTTTAAAAAGGTTAAGAAATACTGCCCCCAGTGACTGGAATGGGTCTTTAGTAGGGCAATGACAGGTAGATACGTATTTTTAGAAAAGTGACTCTGGAGACCGATTGCTGGTGGGCATGACAGAGGAAGGACCATGGGCCAGAGACCTTTAAAAGGATGGAGAGATGGATGCCTGATTCAGGGCATGGTGCTGCAGGCGGGGAAATATTTAGGACAAAGAACCAGAGAGCTTGGTGACCAATGAGATGCGTGGGGCAACAAGAGGGTGTCAAGACTGCCCCCCAGGACCCTTGGTGGGGTAACTGGTTGGTGGGGGGCAGGGGGGAGGGGCTGGCTGGGAGAGGAGGCTGTGGTGCAGGATGTGTGGGAGTGATGGTCTGTTTGGCAGGCTGATTTTAAGGTGGCTGTGGGACATGGGTGGGCAGAGGCCCCTAAGCATTTTAATGTCCACGTTCACAGTCTAGTGGGCGGCCAACTAGGACTAGAATCCAGCATCCTAACTCTTCCTGCTCGCAGCCCAGCTCAACTGCACCCCAAGAGCAAGGAGCAAGTGGCCTGAAGTGCCGTGCTTCTGGTGCTTTCTGGACCACCTAGGAGGTGTCAGGTGCCTGTTCTCACTACCTGGGGCATTGTGACTCACACTGACCCTCACTTCTCAGCTCTGCCCTAGGGCCATGATGGCTGGAAGCTGGGGCAAGCTGGGCTCTCAGAACACGTCCTGGGAAGCTGAAGGCTGAGTGGTGGTGACACTGGGCTTGATTCTGCAGCTAGAGCAGGCTCAGAGGGTTCTGTCAGGCTGGGGTCCCCGCAGGCACCCCAGGACAGCAGCCTTGCCCCAAGTGCCAGGGCCCTCTGGAGTGGCCCTCACATCAGGTCTCTTTCTCTTTCCTTTCTCTCCTTAAAACTTGCTGAGCTGGTGCCTGTCCTGGCCCTGCTTAGCCTGACTCTGCAGTGAGAGATTCCACGGTTTTGCTGCCAGGGGATAAAGGTTTACAGATAACACATTTGCCTCCAGTACCTCTCAGGGCTATTTTCATTTTAATCAGGGGATAACACCATAACCCAAGAAATGGAGCTCTAATGGCAGAATTCCAGCATCGATGGAGATTGGGATGGGAATTACTTTGTTCAGTATATACTTACCTGGAGGACAGATGTCTGCCTTCTGACAGGAATGGCACAGGTCACTTCTGGGGGCAAAGGATTGACTCTGTTAGTGGGCACAAGAAATAGCTCTGACTCTGAAAATTCAAATCTTAGCAGGTTATAGCCATGGGTAGCCTCAGATCTCTATGGCAGGTGCTGCTGGGGAAGGGGAGGAAGCTTGTTCCTGAGGCAAGACAGCTTACCTGGCTGCAGGACGGGTCTTTGGGGAGGGCAGTGGAGATATGTCAGCAAACCCCGCCCTGGGGTCAGCCCTGGAAGGGAGGGTGTTGGACAGAAGCAGCAGCAAGTGGTGGCTGTGACTCTGTTCTAGCTGAAAATAAAACCACTGGAAGGAGGACCCTAGCTGGTGCTGGACATACAGAGCATAGAGCCCAGCTTGGAAGCAACCTCCAAGTCCCTAGTTAGAAGCGTGAGCATCGGGACAGGGCTTGGGGCCCATCCGGACACTGAAACACTGAGCCTGGGACTCCTGGTTGGGTTGAGGAGGAGGCTGTGCCTCAGTGGGTGTACAGGTGTCCTGGGCTCCCGTAGGCACATCGTACTTACTAAGATGAATTCTCCTTGCCCCTCATTGGTGGGAAGCATCTCCCTGAATGGCTCTGCTCTGACAGCATTGGGTCAGGGATGGGGCTGAGAGCTGGCCAGTGAGCCCAGAGCCATAGGGGTGGAGGGTGGGTGGGGGGTGGTCAGGGAGGCTGCCAGCCCAGGTGAGACAGTCCCCAGCACTTCTAGGTCTGAACAACATGGTGCCCATGTGAAAATCAAAAACTGTCACTTGTCCTTTTGTTTAAACATTTTGATGATTAACCGTTTGAAGACCTTGGTCTCCAGGATTTTTGGAGTAGTAACTTGCCCTAGCTTGTAAGATATTAACAACTTTGCCCATCTTCAGTAGTACTTTACAACCTATTATTCACATATTAGCTGGGAGCCTTTCTTCCCCTTGAACTCTAGGTGAAATGGTCTTGATTCCATCAATTCATGGCCTGTACAGATCTAAAGCTCTCCCCCTTTCCAGGGGTGTGACATTCTTCAGGCTCTCTGCCTCTTGGGCTATGTCCAAAAATCATTCACCTCAGCATCTGTGAGTTTAGAGCTGTCAGTGAAGTGTTTTGGGGGTCTCAGGACAGTGTCGTGTTCCTTGCAGCCCAGCAACTTGCAGTCCCCCTCTGGGCTCGTGCAGGAGTCCCACATCCCCTTCCCTCCACCATGCAGAGCAGCCTCCCTCCTCTGAGGCTTGCCAGCCAGCACTCAGCACATAGATTTTCCATTTCCCCTCTTTAAAAGGAATTTTGAGCCCAATTGTAAAGATAATGAAGCTTTCTTTACCTTTTTTGTAGACATAATTTGCTTGTGAAACAAAAGTTCATTTCAAGTTCATTTTTAAGAATTTCCCAGCAGTCCTTCAAAGAAATCGGGGTAAGAGTCATGGTGGTACAGACAAAGCCCTGATGTTTGTCACATATGTGTTTTCCAGCTTCCACCTGGACTTTTGAGGTGGTGCAGATGTGTCCAGCGTCTCTGAGAGCACAGAAGGGGGTGCAGACCGAGCACTGAGAGGAGCGAGGCTCAGACAGGCCTGTGCCAGCCTCCTGGTAAGTAGAAGGTGGTTGTTGGTGGTAATGGGGGGTGATGCACACTTTGCGGCTGAGTCCGTTGCATGAGGATGACTTCCAGTCACTGAGGTCATTGCCACGAACTCCCCCAATCCTGCTGACTCAACAGCTGCCATAGCATTTGAAGGACCTTAGAAGCCACTAGTCCGCCCCCACTCCTCCCCCACCCCAGCAAGGGCAGAAGCCCCTTTCCAGCATCCTGTGATTACTCTGACTCCCAGGAGAGAGAGCTGACCATCTGAAAAGGCTGCCTGTTCCATCTTCCTGTTATTGAGCAGCTCCCGCTGTTAGAAAGTTCTCGCTCATGCCTATCTGCAACAACCACCCAGTTTCCTAGTTCTGGCCCCTGGGGCTCTAGGGTATAAGCCTAATCTCTCTTCCACAATGTACCTCAACAGATGTTTAGGGACAATATGATGGACTGGAGACATGCAGGATCTGGAGCCAGAGACAGTCCTTGTTGAAATCCTGACTCCACTGTTATCTGTGTGACTATCTTGAGCAAGGTAGTTAACCTCTCTGAGATTCAGTTTCTTTATCTGTAAACCTGGGACAATAATGTCTACCTCATAGAGCGATCCTGAGAATGAAAATAAATCATGAGTAGAAGTAGCCTCATGCTGTTATGTCACTGATTTTCTGTCACCAGCTGGGTTTCCTACCATCCAATTCAATTCTGACACTAACTACCTGGAGTTAAAGGGCATATAGATAATGATGACGGGAGACGCTGTTTCCTCTGATGAGCATCCTGTTTAGCCTCTTTTTGATTTCCTCCAGGTCGACTGTTCCTATTATCTGGTCAGAAAACTAGGTATTCTCATGATTCTTTCTCTGGATGTTCTTCTTTTTGTTAATATAGCTCAAGATTGAATTAGTTTTTTGGACTACAACACACGGGAGACGCTGTTTCCTCTGATGAGCATCCTGTTTAGCCTCTTTTCGATTTCCTCCAGGTCGACTGTTCCTATTATCTGGTCAGAAAACTAGGTATTCTCATGATTCTTTTTCTGGATGTTCTTCTTTTTGTTAATATAGCTCAAGATTGAATTAGTTTTTTGGACTACAACATATAATTCCAGTTATTCCGTGCACACCTGTTTACGGTAGAATCACAAGCCTCTCGCTACTCCAGTTCCCAAGGCTAGGATGATCCCAGCCCCTAAATGACATATAATAAGAGCAAATAGTCAATGGCACTTGCTATGTACTAGGCCTTGTTTTAGTATGTCACATATATTATCTCCACTAACCCTCACAATACCCTTTCGAGGCAATTAAATTGTTACAGTCCCCATTTTACACATGGGGAAACTGAGGCACAGAGCACTCAAGTAACTAGCTCAAGATTAAACAGCTCATTCATGGCATAGCTGAGATTTGAACCCAGAGAGTTTAGTTCCAGAAGCTGTGTCTTTAACCACTAAGCTCTGCTGCATGCCAACTCTGATCACCTACAGGGCACTTTGGGAAGGGAAGGAAGGAGCACAAAAGGCTGCCTCTGCCTCTGCCTCACAAAGCTACAGGGTCTGCCCCTGTTGTCATGGTGATGGAGGCAGGGCTTCCTAAACCACTCCCCTTGGAGCAACTCTCCAGCACCCTCTGAGGCTGGGCTCTAAGAAAGGAAAGTGGGCCTGGGCACAGTGGTGTGTGTTCCTGTGCCTTGGGCGCAGAACTTCTTGGTTCCTCCTGCTTTGGGGGTATGTGGGGTTGGGGGAAGCTGCTTCACAGCCTTCACAGACCCGTTCCTGGGAAATGCAGCCCCTCCACAGGGAAGGGGAGAGGATCAGGCTTTTTCTGCTTGGATAAAAATGATTGAGGCCAGGAAGGCTCAGTACCAGACTGTGCTGGCCAGAACAATCCCCATTTCAGAGAAGCTCAGAGTTCAGGTGGTTCTGGAGCTGGTGGGGCCTAGAGTCCTAGGGCATGCAGGGAGCTCACATCCCTATCTCACATTCAGTGTGTTCACTGGGGGGCTGCTTGTTGCTGTTTTAAAAATAACATCAGAGGTTCAGGGCTTTGAAAGTGCCAAAGAGAATTAATTTGCCATGATGAGTCACTGAACAGAGAAGGGGTTGGGTTCAGTGGGGTGATGCCTCTGGAATAATTTTGGGCTATAGAGCTGCCTTCCTAGGAGAATCTGGGTCCCAGCAACTGCATGTTCTCATGGCTCTGATGCAGTCTCATTGTGTTTGACCTTGCAGTCCCTTCTTCCACCCAAGGTCCAGGGATAAGGCTGGGTTGGAGCATGATGAACGTGAAGTATTCTTGATGAACTCTGTGCATGTGGGATTGACTTGAACCCACAAAGCCAATGTCAGTTGTTCACGTGTGTTCTTTGCAGATATTTCTCTTTTGGCATCTGATGTGAGGGAGAGGCCCTGGGAGAAGCAGGAAGGTCTTTTGCTCCGGGAAACCCAGATCCTCCATCCTTCTGCCTTGTCTACATGACTGACTGTCTCCAGCTCAGATAAATCATACAGTGTCAGAGCTGGAAGGGACGACAGAGGTCACTCTTCACTCCCTTGTTTAGAGATGGACAAAGTGGGACCCAGAGAGAGGACATGACCTGCCCAAGCCCATGCAGCTAGCGAGTGACAGAATTGGGGCAAGACTGACAGACTCTGACTTCTAGTCCAGAGCCAATTCCACCAGAAACATCCCAGACAGACTTGATCACTCTTTCTCCATCGAGATGAAAGGAAAAGCCTGAATGTAAATGTTACTAAGTTTAACTGCAACCATTGTAGCAATCTGCCAGATCTGTTTCAAAATCTTTCTTTAGAGCATTTATTTTTTGGCTGCCACACCCAGCAGATTCTTTTCCTCTCCTCCACTTCTTCATCTCAGTCTCCTGGTGCCAAATATTTCATCAACACGACTGGTAAGGGTGGTGCTGGTTGGGAGAGGTCTGGTAAGGTCTTTCCTAAGGAGACTAGTTAGTGAAAGAATTCAGATCAGAGGTCATGGTTTGGCAGACTTGCAGAAGTGGCTGTGGTGGCATTTGGAGCACTCCTGTTGTCCCAGGCCAAGTGTACGGTGGCAGGTGGTGGTTTGAGTGGGAGGAGAGTCCTGCACAGCTATGGGAAGTGGCAGGTGGTACAAGTGTTAGAAACATGAGGCTTTGTACTATCTTTGGGAGGCTTACTAGCAATGGCCAATACCTGGAATGGACACCTTCCATTACATGCTACATCCATTAACACCTAGCCTGTGATATTTCAACTCTGGCTGCTCATTAGAATCACCTAGGGAGCTTTAAAAAATCCTGACGTCTGCTTCTGAGAGCCCTGTTCTCAAGGTCCAAGCCCAAGTTTTAACTTGAGGGCCATGGCAGGGGCATTTAACTGATGATGACAGAGGATAAAGTCTTACACTTTGCCAGCAAGAAGGAAACCCAAGGGCTTGGAGGAGACCAAAGGTGGTGAGCCCCCTGTCCCCCACCATGTCACCCTGGAACTTCCTGCTCATGACGGTGTCCAGTGGTCCCAGAGACCTCACCAGACTGAGATGGCTATTCTAGAGAACCCTCTGGGATTGGTTGGGGGTGTGGTCAAGGTGGGAGGGGCTCCCCTAGAGATGGCTATTCTAGAGAACCCTCTGGGATTGGTTGGGGGTGTGGTCACGGTGGGAGGGGCTCCCCTAGAGAGGGAGGGGACATAGTCACTCCCCGGTTGGCCAGAAAACTCAGCTATTCTAGAGAACCCTCTGGGATTGGTTGGGGGTGTGGTCAAGGTGGGAGGGGCTCCCCTAGAGAGGGAGGGGACATAGTCACTCCCCGGTTGGCCAGAAAACTGGGCCCCACAGCCTCCTTAAGATTGTTTTCCTTTTTCTTCCTTCCCTTCTTTCTACTTCTTTAGGGGTTCCTTGTACTGTGGGATTTGACTGGAGTTCCGCGTGCTGGGGTTTGCTCCATCCATCCTTCTGAGGCCCTAGACCCCACCCCCATCCTAGCCCAGTGTCTTCTCTCAGACAGGGTCAGGTGTGCCTCTGTTCCAGGGGGTACTTACTGCACATCCATAACTCAGCTGTTCCCCCCCCCGCCCCGCCCCATGAAATTTGAGCAGGTCTCTGGAAGCCATTTGTAAAAAAAAAAAAAAGTTTTTTTTAATACCGTTATATTTTCTTGTAATTCCAGTTCTTTGGAACATCCTCTGCTGGGTCTTGGGATGTCCGGATGGATCGGCTGTCTGATGGGATTGGTAGCCCCCTCTCCACCCAAGTTAGGGAGCTCCAAACACCTTCAGGGAAGGGGAGCCTGGCTCTTCTTGTTTTCTTTCTTTCTTCTTATAGTAAGAAAGCTATTTCATTTTTTAATTTATTTTTGGTTGCTTTTTGCACAACTAAGTTTCAGCTTCTCAGCCTTCTCCCTTGCCCAAGGCCGTGGACCCAGACTGGCCTTCATCTGCAGTCCCTCTCTCCCTATTTCCCAAGTCCCTCCTTCCCTCCTCCCCCTTCCCCCCACCCCCAGGGCTCCATTTGTAACCGTGCTGCGCTGGGGATCGGCGCTGAGGTGGCGTGACAGCCCGCTTGTGTAGAACTTTGTTGAGTTTCCTTGGCGAAAAAAAAATCCTGATGTCCAGGTCACACCCCAGACTAATTATATTAGAATCTCTTGCATCACAGTTTTTAGTTCCCCAGGTGATTCCAATGTGCCCCCAAAGGGTGAGAACCACGGCTCCAGGCCAAGGATTCACACCATCTGCCAACCCTTGAGGGACTCTATGTCTGTGTACCTTCCCTTGAACTTGTTATTCTTTTCCCCAAAGAAAGATTACAAATGACAACAACAAACCATCTGGGCAGATGGGCAGGACGCCCACGTGCCCTCTCTAGGTTTATCTATATCCTCCACCCACCCCACCCGGAGAGGCTGTATGGGTGGAGGGTAGAGTCCTGACACAGGATGGAAGAAGACGTCACAGGCAGCTCAGGGACAAGAATATGCTCTCCTGGCCATCAGCAAGGCATCCTTTCTAATGATCTACTGGCCAGAATGAAAGTTAAGGCTGGTGCAAACAGGACGACTAGAGCAAGGCCGGAGGGGACCAGGACTGGCCAGCTGAGGGTAAAGGGCAGATCAGGGCCTGGGAGGCCAGGAGCATTCTTGAAGAGGACAAGAGAACACTCCATATCCTCATGGAATGGGAGCCCACGGGGTGAAGTGGGGAGCGGCAGGTTATGGATGAGAACCCTGGTGTCCCAAGCCCATCTAATGCTCTTTTATTTGTATTTCCATACACATGTTCAAAAACTAATGATTGTTCAGTCAAGGTACATGCCTTCTTGTGCTGAGGAGGGGATTAGCCAGCAGGGGGAAGGCTAAAGCTCTGGAAAGCTGCCCTGGTGTTGAAGGGGCATAACACAGACTTGAGGGCCCAGCAGTGATGACACCCGAAAGGAGACTGGCTTGGCCAAAGTCCCACAGCTGGGAAGTGAAGGCTGGAAGTGCAGCTTTTTTTCATGCATTTAAAAAAGTGTGCTTGAGTAGAAAAATATGTGGCTTTTCCCCAGCTTGGCTTTCCAAAGGCTGCCCTGGTCCTTACTCCAGGATTGGGTCTAGATAGCAGGGACCTTTCCAACAGTATTTATTCTTTGACTTTCTCAGTATGTGGTTCGTGGGGTTTGGGGAGAAAATAATTTTTCATTAACAAAAACTGCATACTTTCTAAACTTGGGATAAGAATCTGATTTTGCATTAAGACACCTTTTAGAGAAACAAATTGACCAATAATTCCTTTCCAGGAGCCAAGTTCTAAAGAAAAGCATGGAGCAAAGCGTTTCCCACGTTTTAGTAGTTCCTGTTCTTTTTTGGTAGTAGTTTAAGTAGTTCCTGTTTAGTAGTGGTAGTGCTCTTTTGTGAATTTCCCACCATAATTTCTGAGGAGGTTTATTAGAGGATTTACATTTTAGATGAAGTACTAATTCGCAGTACATAGGTTTTCACTATGTAGGTATGCATCACAGAAATGCTCAAAAACTCTGCAGGTCGTGTTTCTCCTGGGAACTATCTATACTTCAAGCCCAGTGTGACCAGTTAAGGCTGGCCAGTTAGAGAGGGCGTGGACACCTGAGCGGTCCCATGTTTTCACTCGTCTGATGATGCACTAGCGCGCCCTGTAGATCGGCCCAGCGGCAGCTGCCACGTCCTGCCCTCTCCCCGCGGCTCGGCTTTCACCCTCCTGGGAATAGCCGCACCCCCCTGTGCATCCGACGGAACCCAACCCTCTGCTCTGGGAAGCGGGAACCCCGACTGGGAGCACCAACCTGCCCGCTCGCCCTCTCCCCTCCTCTGTAGGGTTCCAGGAGCGAATTGCAAACCCACCAGGAAAATGAGTGAAGAGACGGTCCCCGAGGCTGCCTCCCCTCCGCCCCCCCAGGGGCAGCATTACTTTGACCGCTTCTCTGAAGATGACCCCGAGTACCTGCGCCTTCGCAACCGCGCAGCGGACCTGCGGCAGGACTTCAACCTGATGGAGCAGAAGAAGCGCGTCACCATGATCCTGCAGAGCCCCGTGAGTGGGTCAGACCCGGGCCGGGCGGGGAGAGGGCAAAGGAGACCGGGGAGGGGCGGGGGCGGTGCAGATTCTTCAGGGTGACCCTGAAAGACGACTAACTCCCCTTCCCCTTGCTCAGAGGCGGCAGCAGTTGAAGCCCGCTGAGCAAGACGGGTCTGGCCACGTGGGTGTTTGATTCTCCCCCTAGTCACTGGTGCATGGCAAAACCCGATTTGTGCGCAGGCAGTTTAGCTCAGCGGGGATGGGGGGTGGGGTGAGGTGGGGCTGAGAGACAGGAGCCCCACTTCAGCTTCCTGTGCCCACTCCGAGCTTCAGTTTCCACTCTTCCCTCCTCACCGAAAGCTGCAACAATGAATAGACTAGGGGCCAGCAGGGGGCGCCCCCCCCCAAAGGCTGGGTGCTCCCTTGGGGGTGAATAAGGCTTTGATGTGCAGGGGGTGGAGGTGAGGAGGGCCTCAGGAGGTGAGGAGCATGAGGGTGTTCAATAGGACTATGGGACAGACGTGGGGGAAGGGAGGACAAGTCAAGATCACCCTACGTCCCTCCAGAGTTGAAGTCAGTGGGTGTCTCTGCCTGGCATGGGACCACCTCCAGAGTTGAAGTCAGTGGGTGTCTCTGCCTGGCATGGACAGAGCTCCTCCTTGGGCCAGTGCCTCCTTGAGAAGGGCAGAATGGACCACTGAAGTAGGAGGGTGATGCAGGCCTTTGGGTGGGGGGAGGAAGAGCAGTGTGGTGGGAGGCAAGAGGGTGGCTAAGGGCAGTAGAGCTTGGGGGTCCTTAGGAAGCAGTGCATGACCCTGAGGGTTGGGAAGCTCAGGGATGGAGCTGGCATCCCCAAGTGCTGGCCAGGAGGTGCTGGGGAGGGTGGAAGCTCTCTCGGGCTTCAGGAAGCCAGGGCATGCGCGTGCGCTGCACGTGACCCTGGCTGAGAGCCCACGTGCATGCTGAGGCCTGGCAGAGGAGCGCTGAGGGATAGGCCTGAGGTCTTGGCATCACTATGATGGGGAGCCTGGAGGAATATGGCAGGTGCTAAAAGCACTGGGGTGAGCACTGTGCTAAAAGCACAGGAAAACCCCCAGACTGTGACTAGGAGGGGTGGTAGGAGAGGTGGCAGCGTTAGACAGCACCAGCCCAGGTTTTGGGTTGGTGGATAGACCTCTACTCTCAGGCAGGAGATGGGGACTGGAGGAGGTTATGCTTCCTTCTGTCCTTTTATAGGTTCGCCCCACCTAAGCAGCTCCTGTTTCCTCCTGAGGGTTTCCCACTGCTACCTAGTGGGCAGGACACCTTGTTTATGACTTGGTGGTCTGAAAAGCCCGACTTAGAGTAGAAGGACGTCAGAAGTGGAAGCAACCTCAGAGGTCATCCAATCCTTCTGCCCTTCCTCTGACCCTTTTATTAAGCACATGAGGAAACTGAGGCCCAGGAGAGCCATAGGCATGGCTAATGGAGAGGGAAGGTGGCACACTTTTTCATTCAGTTCTGCTTTTAAAAATGTCCTTAATTCCTAAAGTGAAGTCCTGCCATGTCTGATGGTGGAGAGGGGTCTTGGCCATCATGTAGGCACAGGAGGGACATGGAATCTGGATTGCTGCCCACAGGTGATGGAACACAGGATCCTTCACCAGCATCTCCTTGTTGCTCACCACACATCAATTTGGGGAGGCTCTTGAGGTCCCAATGGAATTGCCCAGTGTCCCCTGGGGCCCAGGGATCCCAAGCATGGCCCTGGTCTAGCTTATCCAGGGCCTAGAGGTGGGTACTTGGAAGAGTTCACCATAAGCCGCAGGGGCCAAGGGGCCCTCAGTCCCCAGTGTGAGAGGCTGTGGGGGGACCACCACCTCGGGTCCTGCTTCAGTCTTTCAGGGAGGAGCTGGAAGGCCTCATCCAGGAGCAGATGAAGAAGGGGAACAACTCCTCCAACATCTGGGCCCTGCGGCAGATCGCGGACTTCATGGCCAGCACCTCCCACGCAGTCTTCCCAACATCTTCCATGAGTAAGTGGTATCTGGGCAGCTGCCAGGAGCAGGGATGGAGGGGTGGGGTGGGAAGAGAGGAAGGAACAGCCAGAAGCAGACTTGTTGCCAGGCTACGAGCAAGCCGGGCAGTTGCATTAGCAGGCCTGGGAGAGCTCAGCAGCAGCCGGAGAGGTACCTGGCTCTGCTTGGCATGTTGCTGTGAACTAAAGACCCACAGGAGAATTACCTCTGATGCCTGGAATCAGGAGTGAGAGGGGTGGAGGTGACTTCAGGGGATGGGAGGAGGCCACTGAAGCCCCACTAGACAGGCCAGCGTGACTCCAAAGGGCCAAGAGCAACCAAGACTATGAAGCTTTAAAAAATAAGCATTCAAAAATACTCTCCCTCAACAAGATTAATATAAGATTATGGTTGAAAATTAGGAAAATAAGAAAGGGAAGCAAAAATCACTATACTGTGCTCTCAAAACCCAGAAATTACTATTATCAATATTTTGGTGTTATCCTTCCAGCATTTTCTCTTAACATATATAGATTATGCAAATAGAAATGAAATCATATTATACATATAATTTCAATAACTTGACTAATTTTTCACATAATAAAAAATGGTCTGCAACATAATTTTTGGTGGATAAATGCTATTTAATCAATTTCCTATTATTAGATTTTCAGATTATTTCCAAATTTTTGCTGTTATGAACAACAATGCAATAAATATCCTTGTAAATAAATTTAAGGTTATATCTTTGACTATTTTCTTAAGATAAATTACTAGAAGTAGAATTGCTGGATCAAAGTATATGCATGTTCTAAAGGCTTTACTGCATAATGGCAAATTACATCCATTCTCCATCCCGGAGAAAGAAAGGTGGAACCAATTTGCATTCCAACAGCAATGCAATACTCGTGGAGTGCCCATTTTCTCTGTCCTCACCCATAGTGATATATATTACCATTTGTTTCAGCCTTCTGATTTGATAGGTGATAAATAGTACTTTATTGGTGTTTTAATGTGCATTTATTTGATTACTAATGAGGTTAGATGTATTGTGTATTTTCATATACATATTGGGTCTGATTTTATTTTTGTAGTAAATTGCCTGTTCACATTCTTTGCCAATTTTCCTACAGTGTATTCTTTTCTTAAAGATTTTCAAATATTTATAAAGTAAGACTCTTTCTATATTATCTGTCAAATATGCTGCAATATTTTCCCAGTTTCTCCTTTGCCTTTTAATTTTGTTCATGGTGGTTTTTTGTTTGTTTGTCTGTTTTTTGGTTATGAATATTCATGAGATACAAAGCTGATTGTCACCCCTCATGCCCAAGATGTGAGGGCCAGATTCATACTGGCAGCATACCCATTACCACAAATTGCATTTGTGCCCCGTGTCTCCCACCCAATTATCCCCAATCTCCCTCTCCTGCCCACTTCCCCCCCTCAACTCCACTTTGTAGCCCAAGGAATGTTTTCTCCCTCTGCAAGACCAACGCACTACTGAGGTCTTTTCTTCCTTCCTTCTTTCTCTCTTAGCTCCCACATATGAGTGAGTACATGTGGTATTTATCCCTC